GTAACAGCAACCATATATTAAAAAAAACTGATGACATATGAAAGCAATTCACATTTCAGTTTTGTGTATCTTTGGGAATATTAATGAGTAATCTGCATTACTATTAAATATATGAAACTATTTCTCAAGTTAAGCTCATTTTCTTGCCATCTTCTATGCCACCTGCTAGCCTGCTGCTCTACTGAAATAAAATGCTTCCCAAAAATCAGATGGAATATTAACAGCTTCATTCTCTTGGATGCATCTGGAATGTTTGGCAATTATTATGATGCTAATGTAGATGGACAATATACAAAATAATTGTAGGGTTTTTTTCTCAAGTACAAAGCATCTTCACATAAAAATAAGCTCAGCAACAGCAAAACTGCTGTGTAAGGTCACACAATTTCCAGGGCTGTTAGAACTTTCTTGATATTAATATACAAAATAAAGTCTTAGCTTTTAGGCTAATTATTTGTAAGGAGCTTTGAGATCTTTTAGTGGGACCTATAAAGATGTATTGGAATATTAAATCATAGAATCACAGAATGGTTTAGGTTGGAACGGACCTTGAAGATCATCGAGTTCCAACCCCCCTGCCATAGACAGGGACACCTCCCACTAGACCAGGCTGTCCAAGGCCGTGTCCAGCCTGGCCTTGAACACCTCCAGGGATGGGGCCTCAACAACCTCTCTGGGCGACCTGTTCCAGTGCATTACAACCCTCAAAGTGAAAAATTTCTTCCTAATGTTTAATCTAAACCTGTCCTCTTCCAGTTTATAGCCATTCCCCCTCGTCCTGTCACTACACGCCCTAGTAAAAAGTCCTTCCCCAGCTCTCCTGTAGGCCCCCATTACGTACTGGAAGGCCACAATAAGATCTTCCCGGAGCCTTCTCTTCTCCGCGCTGAATATTTTTCATCAACCTTAACAAGAACTGCTAATAAGAGCACTACTTTACAGATAAAGAAAGTAAAGTACAGAGAGAATACTTGATTTGTTTCTGATCACAATAATACACCAGTGTCATAACAAGGTCAGAGGTGAGTACAGACTCCAACTGTTCAACAGGAATCACTAGATTGCTAACACAACTCTTCCTTTCTTCCTAGAAATCTATTGTGTATAAAAACTATGTAGCACAAACACCATTTTGCAAAGCAATATGATATGAGACATGACTGTTCAAGAGCCGAAGGCTAAGAAAAGCCCTAAAAAAAGTGCAACTATGAGCAGTAAAGCCAGTAAGTGATCTCTACAGAACAAAAGACTGAAAAAAAGGAGATCTTGACTACAGACACTATAATCAAGAAAAATCTCCATTTTACCTTTGATCTCTCAGTCACTGAAACCAATATACCTCCTTTTTTTTTATTCTTTTAAATTGACTCCTGTCTCATTCACAAGAGCATCAATTTTGTTAATGAGAAAAAATACATAGCGGATGGGCTTTATCATAGGCCCAGAAAAATTCTGGGCATTTAGTGAGGAGCACCACACACCAAAGTCAAAGCAAACTCTCTTAGTAAATCAGAAGACAAAGACCTCTGACAACAGGATTTTTATTTTTTATAGCGTCCCCAGGTGACTGACTAGGCAAAAGCTGTTTGAGGAGCTACAGTAAGAGAATGACTTCAGACATAGTATTACATGATAGCACATGATGTAAAACGTAAAGAACCGTAAAAAACGGCATCATGCACTCAAGCTACCCTAGCTTCAAGAAAGTAATAGTGCATAAATATATTACAAAAGAAATACGAAGTTGAGCCCTTCATTGTAACCTAAGCCCAGTGCTGATACAAAGCTAGTATAGTCCCCCCTCATCAGCTATTAAAACCTTGCCCTAAAATATTTACATCAACCACACTCTACATAAAGGATCGTCTAAATTTTATAGATCCAGCTACAGTTCACAGTTTCTCTTTCAATCCCACCATTTGGTTACAAAACATCTCTATGCCGTCCCTTTATGTTTGCTTCACCCATTTTAACGAGCTGAGTGTTTTTGTCCCTTCTCTCCAAGTTAATTTGCTTATGTACTTCAGTCATCTGTTGCAAAATAGCTCTTGGACTGCTTGCTGTCTTTATTCACCTCTTTTCCTTCTTCTTCCCCATAAAGTAAGCCTTACTCTACTGCACGAAGAAAGGAATGACCCCCCTCACAGTGACCCTATGGTAGTGGCAACAACCTAAGAAATCCTACACAGAAGGCCGCGTAGGATCAACAAGCTGACCTTGGCTAGTATTTTGGTTTGGCTTTCATGTTGGTCTTATCATAGACTCTATTTTACAGTAATAGAAATCGAAGGGGGGAAAAGGTGCCCATAAAACATTGCAAACCCCTGAATTTCAGTGGCTACAGTCATCTTATAGAACTATTCCCAGATCTAGACTGGCATCATACATGATGCTGGTTGACCAATGAAAATGCTTGTTAATTAACTTCCATCAGAGGAAGAAAAGAAACTTTTCTGCAGACTTAAAACACAAACAACAAAAAAAATACAAAAAACAGCATATTGACTCTTTACCAGTGATCGTGTCACAGATCTACTTCATTCTATTTTTCCCAAACATTCTTTAAATTGTTTTGAAACTACTTCAAGTTATTGAAAATTTGTTCTTAAAGTTCTAAAATATTTTCTTACAAAACTATTTTCTTTTATTTTTAAATGGGACCATACCTACACCACAAAATGCAACCTTCAAAAATTGAAGTGTGACCCAAGAAAACCCAATTCCCACCTGCCAAAATCTTCTAAAGTGCATTACTCAAGACAGTTTTCTCTATCAGAAAGAAAAAAGAAATTGCTAGCAATATGAAATGTCATTAGAAAAGATCAATCAGGTCTTAAAAGACTTCTCTAGACACATACACTGGAGTAACCAGTGACTGAACTGGAATTTCCATTCCGTAAGAAACTCGTATCTTTTAGCATTTATTTAATAACAAAGCAGGTAGAAGTGTTGAAGCATCAACATGTTTAGCTATGTAAAACATTCCCAAAACATTCAATACATAAATATACAAATATTTTGTTTACATACATCATATTTTTAAACAGAACGCTGTGGTATTCCAGAATCAAAACATTTAAATTGATTTGACATTTAACTACATCTGCTGTATTAGCTGCATGAAGATACAGGCGAGCAATCCTTCACTATGTGCTGTCTCCTGTAACTGTAACATGTATCTCCTAAGATAGCTTAGCTGTACAGATTCCACAGATTAGTCAGAAAGAAAACATTACGTACAGAGAAAATGTCCACAGAGAAAACTGATCTACAAGAAGGGTTAGAAGACTTACGACCTGTGAGACAGAGGCATTCTAAAGATGCTTGTTGAAACAGCTAGAAATTACATTTCTATTTTCTCTGTAGAAAACAACAAGGGAGTATCAACAGAGAAAACGTGATGGAAGATTCCATGGTACTTCTACCGACACCAGTAAAGCCCCTAGTATGCTATAGTGGAAAAGCAACAGAACATCAACAAGTCCTTTATATCAAAGTGCTGACAAAATGGCAATCTAAAACTCACAAAGGAAACAGAAAAATCTTATTCACTTTCCCAGATGGAATGATGCCCACAGAACTAACACACTCTTTCTTAAAAAATAAGCCAACAAAAAAAAAATTTACAACATTCATGTGTTAAAAATCAACTTAAAAAAAACCATATTTCCACTAGAATTGTTATCCTGTTCACCCTTACCTGCCTCCTCCATCAGAAAAGAAAAACAAAAAGTGTTTCTATACATTTCATAAGGAAGAACTCAAAAGACTATAATGATTGTGGGGGCAGACTGCCATAAATCAGGTCACCAATAATTATAATGTGTACCCAACTCTACTAGAAAAACATTTAAAGAAATCATTCCCTTAGAACATAAGCAAGATGTATCTTCGTTCTTTAAAAACCAAGCCAGTACTTCGCACTACGTACTCAAATCACCTCCGCTTCTCTAGGACCAATGAAAGAATAAAACAAAAGCCAAAAGCTGAATGTTTCTCTTCGCTGATGGTACTTGTATGAGTAAAATTATCAGAATTTGACATTAAACAAATTCTACAGTATTTTTTTAAGCATCTAATTACTCCTTAATATATCTGCATACAAAGTATGGCATGAGGTAATGTCTCTAAAGAGATTCATGCTGATAAATTAGAGAACAGAGATTTATAAACCCTACATCACTTATTTACATATTAAGTTTGAAAACTCAAGTGTCATTTATAATCAAAGTGTTATTTAACAGTATATGGCAAGAAATTTACCAAATGTTGACATATTTAACACTTTGGTTATTTACAAACACAAGCACAGTATTTTGCAAATAAATACTTTCTCAAACATCTCAGGTTTTAGGTTCTGTTTTTGTCTCCAGGATTATATTTTTAGTTATAAAGTTATGGAAAAATATTGTATTTCAGTTGTAGACCAAATAGCAGCTATCACAAAAAAAGTTAAGTTTGTGATGAAAATGGGACTTTTTTCCCTATTCAACTTGTTGCTTCTCTGAAAAATAATGAGATGATACCTACTACTGTTTTACTGATTAATATCTACATTTAGCATAAATGCACGTAACAGCTATTTTACAATCTCCAGTAATTTTCAGCCACCAGTGACACATTTCAGTCTTTACATTAAGCACTACATGTTCATGTCCAACTCAAAAAAGTCAAATCAAATCCTCACAAACGCTCTTAAGCTTAAATCGACTTACACCCAAGATTTACTTTTGACATTAAAAAAAAAATATAGCTGTATCTTCCAGATGAAAAATGTGGGTTTTTTTCAAGCAGAGACTTTCAATCACTTTAATACAGTTTAACTTTAATCCCAAAGCAACTCCTAGGAGCAGGGCCAGTATCAGATAATGCTAAGCATCTAACTGGAAATTAATTAATTAAAATATATATTCACATGCCAAAGAAATGCAATTTTAAGTAGCTGCAGAAACTGAACAGGCTGTGATAGAAAGAAAAAATACCCTATACAATCTACTTACTAGCATGCTTATCTGCAAGCATTATAAGGCTGTTGGAAATATCTCTTCGCCTGTAAAAACACACCACTTTTGCTTCCACGTTTCCATTGGCAGTCTACAAAAGAAAGATAAATCAAGTCAGAATGTATCTTTCCTCAGCTGAGTAATACAAATTAAATGCCCTCTGCTTGCAATTTTACCTCCTATTAGTAGTTCTCACATGATCAGTCAGGCTGAAATCAACAGAATTACTCAATTAAGTAAAAACTTCCTGACGCAGGCCAGTATCAACTTCAGATCAGGTAACAGTATTGATTATAAATATTTAGTGCTAAGAATTTATATATTATGCAGCTGTTTAGAGATGTAATGCCAGTTCCATGTCAACATAAGAATCCTTAAAAGGTATTAGAAGCTTCTGAACGTTTCTTTGCAACCCAGCTTTAGACGGAAATGTGTATTTCAAAGGACTCTGGATTTTTTTTTCCTGGATATTTAATTTAGTATTTACAGATATATTTAATATAACACAGTTAATTTGAAAATTCACTGCAGCATGTAAGATAAAAAGGATTTAGTTCACAGTTGTTTTCATGACTCACTACAGGGATCATGCTCTTTAGCCTGACAATGTAAAGAATCTACTAATATTCAAAGAACTGTACTCTTTTTTCCTGTTATGAAAAGTACATTAGTTCATTACCTAGAGTCACTTAGTTAAAACTCAAGATGTGGCACTGAAAAGTAACATATTTTAATTAAGTTTCTTACCAAAAAGAAAAAAAAAGCATCTTGTCTCCAGTAAAATGATAACCAAAGCATTTCATTACATATTTCCATAACATCTCCGTGTTTGCTCAATGCCTTTAACACATGAAAGCATATAATTCACAATTAAGATATCTGGACTATATCCTCAAAACTCTCTTTAAAAAATGAAAATTAGAAAAAAAATAAAAATCAATACATGAGTTTGCTCTACTATCCATGAGCGAGATTAAATTACACCAATACAGTTTAAAGATAATAAACATTACATCCAGAATATGATTGGAATCACTTAAATTACTGTAAATAAAAAATATTCTTCTCCAGTAAGTCTCTAAAAGGATTTGCCATGGACAAGTTCAGTGGATGTTGTGTTGGACAGCACTAACAGGTAATGCGGTTGATGCTTGCTATGGAGTTGTGTTATGTTCCACTAACAAGAAGAAAAATTTGCAGGTCACCAATTTTTTAATTTACTGTCTAACCACAGGAAAAAAAATATCATTATTTACATCATGATCATGATCGGCATTTTGATCATTAACTTTTGACATAATAAGACTTAATACTGCTTGATGGAATGGTAAAAGTATGCTTAGTAGTATAAGAACAAAGAAAAATAATCATGCTTTCCCCAAAATGACACTCTGAAAAGCCTCCACTCTTTATAAAAATACACTCAGGATGAAGACAGAGAATACAGTCTCTATTTCTATTCAAAAGCCCATCCTTCATTCACAGCTGCCAATAAGCAGAGCAATAAACAGCCACAGAAGTCACATATTATGTTATTTGATCACTGCAAAGTCTCACTGATAGGTACTAGCTCTTTACACGTACATCCAAAAGCAGACACGTTACATGATTGCTAGCATTCCAGATGGATTCACAGTGTCATCACCATACAGGGAACTAAATTCATTCACTTCCTCAAGCACTCAAACGACTCGTGCGGAAATTTTTAAAGCAGAATATTCCTGTTCACCAGGAATGATCAACTGGGTGTTTCCCTAGGTAACAGGGCAGAATTACAGGATATCACACAGCATGATTTCACTAACTGAAACATACACAAAATACATAGCAAATCTCAAAAAAGTAAAAAAAAAAAAAACAACAACAAAACAAACCACAAAAACAACCAGAAAATTCTACCACAATAGAAATCTTATGGGATGGAAATAATTCTTAGTTTTTTGAAAAGTGCACTGACTGTTGCAGAGTTTAAGCAAGAATGTTAGATACTTGTGTACCTTGTTAAGTTCTTCAATTCTCCTAATGAGATACGGATTGCTGGAAGAATTTTCAAAATAAACATAATCTGCAATGAAAAAAATGAAAGATACTGAAATACCAAAAAATAATACTTAAAAGCATATCATTATTAGTGCAAAAATTTTCTTCTAAACCTAGAAGCTGTTAAAAAGCTGAGATTTCTCAGCAAATGTTAAGGCAGTGAAGTATTTCTATGCTGAGATTTAACATTATTTGTTGCTAAATTCTGGTTATAACTGCACTACACATGCTTTAAAAATCATGCTGAAATAAATTTAAACGCCTCGTGTTGGAGCTTACGTTGTAATTCACTAATCCACACACTTCATAAATCTTGATATAAAAGCGGCTGTTTCTCACGATCGATTAGGGAAGATTTAAGAATTGAGTGCTTTAGTGAGTTTCTATATTATGGAAATAAAGATTTCTGTAAGATATTCTACCTCCCCTTTATTATCAGGTGCTGTGGCAGTACAGGTGTCCAGATGAGTAATGTACATTTTACAATACTGGCTTTTGTTGTCATCTCTGTTCAGCAACATGCAAACTATATTAAGCAGTAATAGTCATGAGGTTAGTAAGGTTCTTCCAGGGAAAGGTTTCTTATAGCATCATTAATATAAAAACATTTTCATAGAGTATATGGAAGTTTACTCATATCCTGAAAGCTGCTCCCATGCAACTTACAAAGAATTGACATGCAGCGTGTTTCCTTTAATAGTTTTCCCAAAACTTGTTTACATCAAATGAAAATGTACCCATCAAATGCTAACCACACTTTGCATTTGATTTTTGACTTCTGCACCACGCAACTTGCGAATTTTCTAAAAAAATTTGGGGGGGGGGGGGCATAACGATGTATAAAACTCTTCGGCAATGTTTTCACACTAGATTACAGTGAAATAGAGCCTCAGGTAGTTCATCTAGCTCTAAAGAAAGAATATGATCTCTGGATATTGTTCACAATTGCTTATTAAGATTTCAACGAAAAAATTCAGAACTGATGACCTAAGAAGCAAACCCTACCCAGATTTCAACAGTGCTGCTCAGAGAAGGATTACTTTCACGAGTAAAGGCTGACGGGATTACAATCTAAATGCCCTAATGAAGGAGGATGCAGATGGACGATTTGTGGATGCGTACCTCAAAACAGAGGCAGAAAGAGACAGAAAACAGCTAATATGATTCCTCATTTCCTTACATCTTCCCTCTCACCTCAGGCTGCTGAGGAGAGAGGAGGACGAGGGGGAGACAAGCCATTTTTGAGCACCAAGTACTGAAAAACCCAACTTGAGCGGTGCACCTGAGCCACAGCGCCAGGAACACAGCCATGGTCGCTCCGTCAGGGAGGGCGGCGGAAAGTTATCCGTGTCTATCTGGCCAGGCTGGGGGAGGCGAGAGAAACGTTTGCCGTGTTTTTCACCGCTTAAGTGCTCCCCCCGCCCCTGTCCACCCCCCCCCGCTTC